AGTCAATAAATGTAATCCAACACATTAACAGAGCCAAGGTCAAGAATCACATGATTATCTCCACAGATGCAGAAAAGGCCTTTGATAAAATTCAACATTCATTCATGCTAAAAGCTCCGGAGAAAATAGGAATAGAAGGAACATTTCTTAAAACAATAAAAGCCATTTACGACAGACCAATAGCCAATATTATACTTAATGAGGAAAAGCTACAACCAGTTCTCCTAAAATCAGGAACAAGTTAAGGATGCCCACTGTCTCCACTCCTTTTCAGTATAGTCCTGGAACCCTTAGCCAGAGCAATAAGGCAAGAAAAAGACATTAAAGGGATTGCATAGGGAAAGAAGAAGTTAAACTATCCCTTTTTGCAGATGACATGATACTATACCTTCACGATCCCAAAAACTCCATCCCCAAACTCTTAGAAATCATAAATCACTTCAGCAAACTAGCAGGATACAAAATTAACCCACAAAAATCAGTCACCTTCCTGTATACTGACAATGTACAAGCAGAGAGGGAAATAAAGGAAGCAAACCCATTCACAATAACCTCCCCCAAAATAAAATATTTAGGAATTAACCTAACCAAAGATGTAAAAGAACTAATGAAAACTATAAAAAGTTAAAGAAATTACAGAAGACACTGGGAAATAGAAAGACCTACCATGCTCTTGGATAGGCAGACCTAATATAGTGAAAATAGCAATACTGCCAAAATTAATATACAAATATGAAATTCCTATTAAAATCCCAATGACGTACATCTCTGAAATACAGAAAACAGTCCAAAAATTCATATGGAACAACAAAAGACCTAGAATAGCTAAAACAATTCTAGGGAATAAAGACAACATGGGAGTGATATCCATGCCGAACTTCAAACTCTACTATAGAGCCATAATAACAAAAACAGCATGGTACTGGCACAAAAACAGACCCAAAGACCAATGGAATAGAATAGAAGATCCAGAAATAAATCCATATGCCTACAGTCAGCTGATACTTGACAAATATCATAGGAAGGAACTTCCTGAACAGAGTCTCAGGGTCACAATAAATTGGAGAGAGACTCGACAAATGGGACTACCTTAAAATAAAAAGCTTCTGCACAGCTAAAGCTATTGCAACCAAGCTAGAAAGACAACCAACTAGTTGGGGAAAAAAGTATTTACCAGCAATATATCAGACAAGGGGTTAATATCCAATATATACAGGGAACTCAAGAAATTAATCCCTCCCAAACCTAACAAACCAATTATTAAATGGGCAAGGGAACTAAAGAGAGACTTCTCAGAGGAAGAGATAAAAATGGCAAAGAAACACATGAGGAAATGTTCACCATACCTGGTTGTGAAGGTAATGCAAATAAAGACAACCCTGAGATACCACCTTACCCCAGTCAGAATGGCCCACACCCTCAAGTCAGCCAATGACAAATGCTGGAGGGGATGTGGAGAAAGAGGAAGCCTATTACACTGCTGGTGGGAATGTACACTTATACAACCACTTTGGAAAGCAGTCTGGAGAGTCCTCAGGAAGCTAAATATTGACCTCTCTTATGACCCAGTCACACCACTTCTAGGCATCTATCCTCAACAACAGGAACCAGTTTACAAGGACACATGCACCTCCATGTTTATTGCAGCACTGTTCACAATAGCCAGGATATGGAAACAACCCAGATGTCCCACCACAGATGAATGATCCAAAAATTGTGGTATCTGTACACAATGGAATATTATGCAGCCATTAGAAATGACAATAGCATTTGCAGGGAAATGGATGGAGCTAGAAGAAATCATGTTGAGCGAGGTAAGCCAAGAGCAAAGAGACAAATGGTACGTGGTCTCCCTGATAAGTGGATGTTAAATCCAAAATGTTAGGTGATACGACAAAATTAACAGGACTTAAGAAACAAAGGACTTCCACTTATCTGGTCGAATCACTACTAAATAACCCCATGCTGCTGATCACATGTATGGTATATATATGTGTACACCGGAGGGGAACCAGGAAGATGATGCAGAACTCGAGGAAATCAGGGAAAAACATATAACACCGGGACCCATCAGCTGCACTGGACATTGACCAAAATGAGCTAAGCAACTTAATGGCAGTGATGGGAGGGAACAAGTGGGAAAGAGGGAACAGCTGATGCTATGCAAAACAAAAGAAATGTACATACCACCCAATGTGGAAGAAATAACTATCGCAAAGCTCATAGAACTCATAAATGTTATAGAGTGTGATAGACAATTCGCTCCAGGAAAAGTTAGAATGTGTTTGTGACTTTAACTGAGCATCACTATCCCACAATACTGTGAAATTTGGGAAATTATGTAACCACTTAATCACGATAAAAAAATTGAAAATAAAAGAATAATATTAGAAACTGGGTGCTGGTGGCTCACACCTGTAATCCTAGCAACTCAGAAGGCTAAGATCTGAGGATGACAGTTAAAAGCAACCCAGGCAGGAAAGTCCATGAGACTCTTATCTCCAGTTAACCACCAGAAAATGGGAAGTGATGCTGTGGCTCAATGTGGTAGAGTACTAGTGTTGAGCTCTTTTGGTCAAGCCCAGCAAATATTTCTGATATTTTAATGATTTTTTCTTAGGAATCATTTGACTTAAATTATCCTGGGGGTGGAGGGTGGCAGGTGTACTGAAGTTTGAACTATGCAGGTGTTCTGCATTGAGCCATGCCTCCAGTCCTTTTTTTTGCACTGGTTTTTAGATAGGATTTTACTTCCTGATAAGCATGCATTTGGATTGTGATCTGCCTACTTTATGCTTCTTGTTGTAGCTGATGACAGGTCCCACCGCATACCTACCTATTCTTTGAGAAAGGGGTCTTACAAATATGCCTGAGCTAACCTCCAAATCCTGACCCTGCTGACTAACCTCCCCAGAGGCTGAGATTGCAGGTGGGAACTACTAGCTCCTGTCTTTTTCTTTTATAGAGTCTGTTATCAAATGACTATATTAGGTAAAAATCATTTTTACATTTTATTGAAATATACAATCTTGTCATAATACTTGTTTATAATAATAGGAAGTCAAGAACTTGTTATTTACTTTTCATTGTTTAGTTGAAGAGTTTATTCTTTCTGGGAACTGAGCCCTTATCCAAATGCATGGTTAGCATCCCATCCTCTGGATTGTCTTTTTATTGACATGATGGTGCCTTTTGGAGAACAAAAACAAATTAAATATTACTATTTATTAACATACGATATGTTCATGGTGGTTATGCATTTTGTGTCAAGCCAAATAAACCATTGCCTAGTCCTAGGTCAGAAAGAGTGTGTGTGTGTGTGTGTGTGTGTGTGTGTGTGTGTGTGTGTGTGTGTGTGTGTGTGTGTGTGTGTGTGTGTGTGTGTGTGTGTGTGTGTTTTGTGGCCTTATGCTTGCTTGGTTGACATTCTGCCACTTGAGCCACATCCCCAGCCCTACTTTTGCTCTGGCTGGCCTCTACACATGATCCTTCAGCTCCCAGCCCCATGAACAGCTAGGATTACAAATGTAGCCACAGGCACCTAGCCAAAATTATTTTTACTGTGCTTTTTAAAAAGAGTTTTATAGTTTTAATGCTTACATTTTGGTCTATAGTCATGTTTAATTAGTTTTTGTTATGCTCTGTATTCCTATTTTAAGATGCACTTTTAAAAATACTATGAAAAATATGGAATAAGTTACGGTTTCAAGGAGAATTCTACTCTCATTTCTGCCTCCTGAGTATTTAGTGAGGAGTTTGAGGCTGGTGTACTGCCTTGCTGTATGTGAAGGCACTGAGGTAGTTTATTTTTTGAACAGATGGTGGCAGCAGAGCTTTAGTGAATACAAATTCTAATTCTAAACTTCATATGGTAAAATTATGAATCTTCTTAATTTGTTTGTCTTCTTTTGGGAAATATGGCGATTAAATTACTTTAAGGTTTCTTTTAAGATTTTTAAGAAGTGTTGAAATTTAGGGATTTTTTTTCTGTTAATGTGTTCAGGCTTCTGTTTCTAACTTAGTGAAATACGGACATGATTTTTTTGAAATTGTCAAACTTAGGACATGATTTTCTCAAGTTCCTCTAATGTATTTTTATCAGTTTTGTTCCATTATCTCTTACCCATCATCCTTCTGTAGAGATAAATTAGTGGAGTAAAAGTAAAAATGTAGATTAATGCTAACTCATGCTTATTCCTGAAACAAGTGGGCAGATACAGTCTGCCCACTTGTGCATAGATAGTATATAAATGGGAAAAGCCTTGCTTTTCTTCAGTAATAAGAACTTTTATATTATCTTAAAATTGGACCTCACATGTCCTTTTAAGCCTGAATTATAATAACACAATTAGGTAATACCATTATTCAGTTGTTTTCAAGATAATAATGGAAATAATGAACATTTTTGAGAACTTACTGTTTGCTAGCTCATATACTGCCTTGTGTACATTGCCTTCTTTTGGTCTCAAAATATTTCTCAAGTAAGTACTGTTTTGCCCCAATTTTCTAGAATGGGAAATGGGTTTAGAAAACTTAAGTAAAGTGCCTAGGATTACATTAGGGAATGGTATGTGTGTGTGCTTTCATTCATAAGCACTTGTACTTCCCTATGTTTAATTTTTACAGGTAGCGTCCTATATATAGCACTCAGAAACTTATTTCTTTTAAATTTACAGCCTGTTTTGCAAATCTTAGATCTTGCTTACTACATAGAAAAATGTGAACAATTTCTTTAGTCATGAATAGATAACATCCCACTATTTAAATTAATATTCCTATTTGTTTGACTTTACTGAAAAGTAGAATATCACCTAATCACATGTAATTTTAAGTTTTGCTTCACTTTTCCACTAGAGGGTGTAACAAGTATATGATTTAATTTTTTCAATTTCTAAAACTGCGGTAGTAATAGAATACTATAGTCTTACTATAATGATGAAGAAAATTTTTTCTGTGTAGAATTGGCATAATAGTCGTCTTCTTCGGTTTTTGTATTGCAGGTTACTCATTTTTGGATCCTATGACAGAGAAGCAAATGTTCATTGCACACTTGAGCTAAGCAGTGGTGTTTGGGAAGAAAAGCAAAGGAGTTCAATTAAGACGGTATTTGCATAGTTTTACATTTATTTGTATAAACTTTTTACTCTACAAGCATGTTTTTATAAATATTTCTATATTCCTAGTTATTGTTGGCCCTAAGCAGTTATAAATAATTATGTCTTGTTAGCAGTACATCAGTAATATAATAAATCACATAAAACTAGTTAATATTCAGACTGCATAAGAAACAATGTATGACCAGTTTTCCTTTTAGAGTTTTAAAATTTGATTTAGATAAAGGATTAGAAGGAAATAATTTTACTAAACACCTTACAAGGCATGTGAATTCATAGCATTCATTCAAAATACATTTTCATTGATTCAAAATTCAGCAGTATGTTTTTGAGTACTTATTGCTAAGCACTCTTCCTTCAGCTGAGTTAACTGAGACAAGAAGAGACTATTGCTGTGGTACTGACGGGGTTGCGAGGTGGCATAGGGAAGAAAACAGAGGGAAATGAATTACACTTTATATGATAAAATGAATAAAGCAAAAAAAAAAGTGAGTATTATTTCCCAGGGATAGACAAATATTACCAAGAAAGCAGGGTTATGACAAAGGAGTTAGAAGTTAAGACAAATGATGCTTTTTAGATTTGGGAAAATGGGGGAGCTCCTCTACAGAGATGGCCCTGGTTCAGGCTTGCCAAAATAACAGGACAAGCTAGGTGCCAGTGGCTCACGTCTATAATCCTAGCTATTCAGGAGGCTGAGATCTGAGGATCGCGGTTCAAAGCCAGCCCGGGCAGGAAAGACCATGAGACTCTTATCTCCAGTAAACCACTCAGAAAACCAGAAGTGGTACTGTGGCTCAAGTGGTAGAGCACTCGCCTTAAGCTGAAGAGCTGACAAAAATAGAGAGAGAGAGAGAGAAAGAAAGGAAGGAAGGAGGGAAGGAAGGAAGAAACAAGCAAACAAACAAGACACCCAATGAAATTTGAATTTCAGGAAAACAATAACTGCTTAGTATATATATGTCTCAGAATTTCAGGGTTACAGTCAAAATGCTGCTAAGTCTTTAATGAGAAATTATGGAGTATTTTTGTGAGTGGTCCTTTGACTTTTGAATTGTTTCTAATTTCCTGATATTATAATGAGCATCTGTACTTAAAATTTGGGTGGCATAAAATTCTCTTTAGAAATTGAGCTATTTTGATCATAATGAAGTCGGAAGAAATAAAATTAAACTGACAAGGGAATATGGGCTCACTCACAGGGTTTAGAGTTCTCTCTCACAAATAGTGAGTGCTGTTAAATATTTTGAATATGGTAGTGACATGGTCAAAATAGAAATATAAGCTGGATGCTGATGGCTCATGCCTGTACATCCTAGCTATCGAGACTGAGCTCTGAGGATTGCAAGTCAAAGCCAGCCTGTCAGAACTGTCTCCAAGACTGTTTATCCCCAATGGACCACCAAAAAGCTATAAGTGTAAACCTGTGCCTTCAGTGGTAGAGTGCTAGCCTTGAGTGAAATAGCTAAGGGACAGTGCCCAGGCCCTGAGTTCAAGCTCCAGTGCTCACTCCTTTCCCCCAAATACACAGAAGTATAAGGAAGATTTCCTTAAGCAATTTGAAGCAGTTCCTCAGAGGAATAAAACATCAGTTTGAATGTAAGTGCTATAACTACAAAAAAAAAAGCATTATTATTTTGTCTGGGTAAATTTTTAACTTAAATTTGAATTGGTCATAATTTGCCATTGCTGTTGGCATTTTCAACCTCCCTTATTTTATTGTAAAGATCTCATGAGATTAGACAGCTTTAATACCTTACAGCAAAGGTTAGTAAGATTTTAATCTTGAGTCATTAGCTTAGATCTTAGCATATGTCACAGGTAGTTTTCAAGAATGAGTTCAAGATTACTAATTACATATGGTGTTGAAAATGTCAACTGTGAGTTGTTACCGACATTATACTGCAAATATCTGAATTTAATAACCCTGGGGAAGAGAATTACTGTGTTTTTTAAGGCAATATAAAACATCAGGGAATAGGACTTGATACTTTGGGATACATTGCAAATTTGAGTTGAAAAATAGTGCATTGTTAAAAAAACAAGTGAAAACCTTTGAATTTAGAAGCTGCCTTTGTGATAGACCTTCTTTACATTAAATGTTTTTAAATGGTGACATTTGTTCAGTGAATTAGTCACTAATTGTAGTGTATGTGAAAAAAGAAAGAAACTTAATTTCTTCCATAGTCTGTGCTCCTTTTTAAAGCATTCCATTGCTGCAACTAAAGAGCCTAGTTTCCTTCTCCATCATCCTTAGCATCAGGTTTTGTTCTGATGATTGCATGATGTCTAATGCACCTCTGAGTATCCATCTTTCAAGAAAAAGGATAAGATATAAGGGCAGTCTAAAGGCATATGTCAGCCAGGTTTTAATCTTACATGCTTTTCTGGAAGTTCCTCCCAGGAATTTCTACCTAACATCTCACTGGCCAGATCTGGGTCATACAACAGAATGAAATATAAAAAGACATTTTTTTCTAAAAGTAGAAAACAAGAGAGAAGAATGGAGTTGAGAATGGCTTTAAGTGGCCAGGCCACAAGGAAACAATTAAAGTCTATTTTTCATGGCTTTTTATTTTCAAGGAAATTTTGCCATAATTGGGATATAAGGATTAAACAAAAAAGTGTCATGTTTCCCCCCATCCCAGAAGTTTAAATTTCATGCTTACCTGTCTTGTTCACTCAGTTAGGGCTCTCCCATTTGACCCAGGCCTCCAGCCTGACTCTTTGCTCGTTATTTTTGGAGATAGGTTATTTTGAAGTCTCACAGACTTCATTGCCCAGACTGATTTTAAACTGCCATCCTCCAGATCTCATCCTCATGAGTAGCTATGATTACAGGCATGAACCACCAGCACCCAGTAAAAAAATAATTTACCACATGGCCTACATAATGCCTACTTTAAAAATACCTAAAAATGCAAGAAAAGTTTGGAGGAAACGCATATATTCATGTCAGTGCCCCACTTAACTTATTTGTAAAGTAGGATGAATTAGGTATTTGTTCATTCTTTAACAATAAATAAGGAATGATTCATCAGAATTCCATAAAATATAATAGGTATTAACAACAACAAAAAAAAATAGAGGACCATTTTGCAAGAGATGATTTAGCTAATGCTAAAAACGCTTACTGCACGAAAAAGAGAATTCCATTTGTGATTTAAGTCCCCTGCAATATTCAGTTTTAGTGATGACAGTTTACTGCATTTTCACTAAGGAATATATTTAAGGAGTTTTCACATTTTGTAAGTTTCAGGCCAAAATATTTTGTTAATAAGCTATTATGAAACAACTATGTATCTATATAAGTGGTAGTGCTGATCAATTAAATTAATATGACATATTAACACATAGTAACCCTTCCTCCTTATCTGAGATTTCCCTTTCTAAAATTTTCAGTTACTCATAGGCAACAAGAATGGTTAGTAAATTATGATGACATGTTTTGAGAGAAGGAGGGCAGGGCAGAGACCATATTCACCTAATTTTTATTATAGCATATCATTCTACTAATATTTTATTTGTTAATATTCATATTTTATTGTTCCTAAGTGATAAATTAATTGTTATCACTGATAGGTATGTGTGGGAAAAATATAATGCTATAAATCTGTGGTTGGGTCCCTTATGTAGTTACAGGCATTAACTGGAGATCATGGACTATATCCCCTGCAGAAAAGAAGAGATTACTTAAGTTGTTATTGTGTGTAAAGCAGACAGATTACATAAATGTCACATTAGCACACATTCTTTCAAAGAGGACCATCCCAAATCTTGACCTTTCCTGCTCCAAGTTTTCCTCACCATCAATTACAACTGGCTTTAGGCATCCAGACTAAAATAGGTTGGTTATTAGTGCATTAATGCATCATTTTCTTTCCCTCCCTCTGTTACTATTTTTGAATATTCTGTCTGTGCCTGTCTTCTACCATTTATCCACCAAGGCACCTGATTTTTCAAACTGATTTTTCTAATCTTTGTCTGTCTTAGAATGTTTGATGCCATTTGGGAAGAAGAGAAGGCATGAAGAAAATGGGGTATGGAACTTGTGAATCTGGGGGTTGTGTGGTAGAGGAAAAGGTTTGGGGGCCAGTGTAACAAGCATGTAGATGTTCTTTTGGTCTGAACAGTAAAGTGGTATAAGGAGTTTTGATTTAAAAAAAAAAAAACAACCAAAAATCCACAACCACTTATGTGGTTTCTTTTTGTAGTGCTGGCTATCAAACCTAGGGCCCTATGCATACTGAACATGCACTCTGCAACTGAGCTCATCTCTAACCCTACTGATACTGACCATATTCCCTTTCCTTCTAGCTATCACACTCTTCATTCAGACACTTGATAGCAAATACCATTTGTAAAGACCAAGATGCTTTCTGCAGTTAGAGATAGAAGGTTAAAATCCAAACAAGGCACAGAGCCCAAAGTTCAAAGCTTCTTAGCAAACTTCAAAAAAAAATGCAAACAACATTGGCATAAAGATGTCACTCTCAAACAGTAAACATTAATGTTAATTTCGTCCTATTTTGAAATGGAGAAGAAATTGCAGAGGAAGTTTCTGAGTCTCTTCTATAGAATAGATGGGTGGAACAGAGATACTAGAACAGTTATCTGCTCAGTATAAAGCAAAGAAAGAACTACCTCATGTCTTATGTAGCCCAATGTGCAGGTACCAGAGACAGCTCTGGTTATGGACTATTACCTCTAATTAACCAACAGAAAGCTGGAGGTCAGGAGGTGTGCCTTATGTGGCCAACTTTGAGTCAAAAAGCCAAGGAGGAATGAAAGGCCCTGAGTTCAAGCCCCTGTACTGACACACAAGAGGAAGGGAAGAAAAGGGGGAAGGGAGTTACTTTGGAATTGACATAGGGAAAGATTTAAAATTACAGGGAGATTTGATTTGAATGTAGAAGCCTTTCACCAAGCTTCCAGTTTCTTGATGCTCCAGCCCTTGACCTTTACTAATACCATCCCCTACCCACTCCT